ACAGCATCTTCACTTCATCAGCTGATAAAAAGTGATCAGAGAAGTCACAGAGACACTCATGAGAAGCTCAGTAGCAGTCAGACATTGTTTATGAAGATGTTGAAATTGAAAAAAATTTTATTCTTGAGAAGTTCTTGAATCAATATGCAGACATTGTCAGAAACACTCTCTCTCTGTTATCTGAGTGAAAATACTTCATAGATGAATAAAGATACTCACAGTTTATAAAGATGAGAGCTATTACAGAAAAAGAGAAAAGAAGATGAGATTTCATAGACAGATCTGAAATATTTATACTACTCTAGAGAGATTTGCTTACACTGTGAATGATTTCATGAAATAGTCAGATCACTCTAGTAAATAAGAGTGATTATGAATCACAGGCCTGAATCTTTCTATATGACTACAAAGAGTAATTGCAGACTGTGAACATCTTGATTCTACAATTCTACAGAGTTAATGAAAGAATGAAAAATTCCTCACAATTCTACAGTGTCAAAGAACAATGATTTATAAGAATGAGTGAAATATCAACTTGTGAATACTTCTCTTTGATGAGAGTGATCTCACAGAGAGTAATTTATCTGTGAGATGAATCTGTGTAATAATCATATAAGAATTTTATGAAAATGATTGAGAGTCAACTGAAACTCTTCTGTATGAAAGATGTGAGATGAATCTGTGTAATAGTCAGAGAAGAATCTGTAGATTACAAAGAATCTCACAGAATAAGAAACTGAGTAACAGACTTTTTTTTCTTTATAGTAATAAGGGATTTTTCCTCACTGAGGTTTTTTATAGATGTGAAGAGTTTTTAGTGAGTATCACTGCAGTGCTGAGCTGATTCTATGAAGTCACTCAGTGAAAGACTTCATGGATGAAGTCTTAGAGAGAGGGGGATATGTAAGAAATTCTGCTTCTTGCAGATTCTTTACCTCTATTTCTATCTCTCATGTAATCAATAGAGCTAGCGGCTCTTGACTACACACAACTATATAGACTGAAGTTTATGAATACTATTCATAACTCAGCTTGAATGCTATTATACATTTGATCTCTATATTTTATCTTTCTACTGTGAATACTTCTAGTAGTTAACAGTACATATCACGCCAAGCTGTAAACACTCAAATAATCGCCTGCAAGCACTTATTCTTACACTTTCAAAGAAGAAGAAGTTCATCTCAGAACATGTTATAAAGAGAGCCTTATAACAGTTCAGAGTTCTTATCATTCTTTTTCTCTAACTTAATACTGTGATTTACTTCAGAACCTGGTAAGAGAGATATGTTTATAATATTATCTTATCAGAAGACATCTAGATATTCATGATATTATTGAGAGAGTTTTGTATGAGAATCTGTTATTGTAATATAAGATAACTTTTCTAGAGCCTTTTTAATATCAGTCAGACTGATGAAATAGATTGATATATAATTCTACTATCAGTAAACTTATCAGTGACTCTGTCAGTGATTTTGATAATGACTTCTTTTTCAGAGTATTTCATAAGCATTGATAGAGATCTGTGTAAGATTCATAGTCTTGTGAATATCATCTTCATGAATTCTATCATCATTAGAGAATATCAAGCTTCTGTTTCAAGCATTCAGTAAGATGCCTTGTTCAGATAGTCAGATAAGTTCTAATATAAGATTATAATTAAGATTATCAACTTCATATGTGTAGATATCTTTACATTGATATTCTCTCATATCTATGTTTAGTTTTATCATATAACAGATACAAACATCTTTCAGATCATCAAATTCTGCAAGAAGTTGAGATTTTGATAAAGAAATATACTGAAGGTTATAATGTCTTACAACTGAAGATTTTATCATTGTATAGTGACATAGACTGCTGTCTATCATAGCTTTCATATTATACATATTATCAATCACAGTAGATACAAGAATCACATTCATTGTCATCTTCTCTTCAAATCATTATTATTCAATCTCTTCAAGCTTCTGTTTATGAATTTGAACAGAAGCTAATCTTTTCTCTGTTTCACTGAGATATTCTTATAGTTATCTTTCAAATCTTTCTTCACTGCAATGTGATTGACACAGATAGGCACTGATCTTTCTCTTAAGTGTGAAGACACATAGATCAATCAGCAGTTGAAAGCAATGTGTTCTGATCAGTTACAGTTGATACACACTTTACATTGACATTGATCAGTGACTTCTTTGAGAGTGATCTCAGGGACTTGAAAGCCTGTTTAAACAGTGAAAACTCTTGCTTGTATATAGACATTTGAATCTATTCAGTTCATGACCTCTGCATCATTGTTCTTCAGTATGAGTGTATAAGTGACTGAGATGTAATATCTTCTGTCACTGTTCTGTATACTCTTGAGCTTGATAAGATAATCATTCAATGTCTGAAGCTGTATGCAGAAGTCTTCATAAGTCTAATCTTTGTCTATACTTATAAGAGTTTGTAAGAGTTTGAAAGTCAATGTCTTCTTAAGCATGCTAATCTTCATTCAATTCTTTCAAGATTAATTACCTGCTTCTAGAATCTTCATATTGAAATTAGAGATGAATGTTGTAAGAGAAGTGTTTCTCTATCAGATACTCTGTAATCAATTTAATACTTTCTATTGTATGACAGTGTCTCAGAACAGAATATCAAGATATTTTATAATATTATCAGATATTTATAATGCTGATTCACATGCTTTTATTCATGAATAAAACTTCTGTTTCATGCAATTCTTCAATTATTCATTGATATATTAATCTTAATTGATTAATGAACTGATGAAATCTTCATCTATACTCAGTTTCACAAGCATTTTCATCCTTCATAATGAGTAGAGAGTGAGATTGAAAGTATTGAAATATATAGAAGCATCTAAGCATTCTTTCAGTACTTCTATATTTGATTCTGTAGATGTTGAAATCACATGAGTTAATTATTAAATCTCTTCATATTGAAGTTATTGAGTTGCATGTATGTCTGCTATCTGTTACTGTTGTAATTTCAATATTACTCAGAGTCACTGTGACATTATATCTATGCTCACATTTGAGAGTTTCATATTCTCATTAGACATGATTATATCAATTGTCAGATGTGTGATATCTGTGAAATCTGAAGAAGTGTAATCATATTCTTATATATCTGAGTGTCAGAACTCTCAAGTCTTTCACTGATATTCTCTTATAAGATCTTATTCTCTTCATAAGATCTTATTACAGAGTCAGAGTGACTGATGAGCAAGCTTCTATCTAAGAACTTAGTATCTACTTAACTATTTGACTGTTTCTTCATTTCTTACATATTATTACATGTTTGAATATCTCTCAATAAATAATCATTTCTAATGAGAAGATGATGTGTGAATAATTGTTTTCTAATAAGAAGATGATGAATGTTTTTATAGTATAAGAGACCTACACTGAATAGATTGATATAATATTGATAGGTCTTATATAACAAAGATAAAAATGTTAAAGAAGGAAAGAAAGAGAAAGTGTGAGAATCAGTGATTGAGATGAATATTTATACATGTATGTGATGGTGTACATGGTGGAGCTTCGAGGCAGAAGAATATACGCGCGTTTGTAGCAGCTGAGGATCGGTGATCGGGAATGGCCGAGAATCGGAGTGTATGTTACGCGCGTTCGTAGCGGCCGAGGATCGGTGATCGGAAATAGAAGAATCTATGAAGTGTAATGGAATAGTCTATATAATTGATCGGGCGCAGCCCGTCACAGAGAATCTTATATTTCTCAAGATCATCTTCACACATCTTGTCTGTGAAATCAATGAAGAGAATCATTAATTTCAGTGTTCTGTTCTTGATACTATTCAAGTAGCAGCAGAGTTCATCCTGGCCACACTTTTTAAGTGTATATTTTCTAATTATTCACATTTATATAGATATATACTGATTATTTATTAGATAATATTAAGACAATGACTCATCACAGCTGTGTTACTCTCACTATAAGAGATATACAGTTAATAATAAACATTGTAAAGACTCTGAGAAGTAAGTATTTTAAGAATACTATGACTCTGTGATTTTGATTTTTTTTTTGTTTTTATTTTTTATTTCTTTCTCTTTCTTTCTCTTTTTTTCTTTCTCTTCTTTTTTTCTTTCTCTTTTTTTTTTTTTTTTTTTTTTTTGTTGTGATTTTTTCTTGTTGTTTTATTTTTTATTTTTTATTATTTTTTTGTATTTTATATTTTTTTTTTAATTAAAATGATATTAATTATAATCTGTATTTAGAAAAGTAATAATATTTGATAATACTCTCTATTGAATTTTCAACAAATGAGTACTATGTTATGATATTATGTAAGTAAGAAATGATTTCATAATCTCATTTAATATCATTTTCAATAATGAGATCAGAATGAAAATGTGACTAAGAATTTAAATATATTCTTTATCTAAGACTAGATTTTTAATTGAAAAGTGAATCTGAGATCTTTAATATTTGAAATAACATGATTTGAAATCAATGTAATGAATATAAATTATGATCAGAAGTAATACTTTTAGATAATATGACAACTGTAAAGTTTGATTCTGGTCTCAGACACGGTCACACGGTCAGTCTAATTACAACACATACAAGGCTTCTCAGAAAGAGAGAGAGAGACACAGAGAAATACAGAAAGCAGAACACAGTATGTGAACAGCTCATTTTCACAACAACATCTCAGATAAGACATACAAGTCTTATATCTATGAGTGTAAAAGAGTACAACATTCATATTCTCATTTCTGAAAACATAGATATTCTTCACCTGCATCACAAAGTCAGATGATAAATATCAGAGAATAGACTGATACAGATCAATTATTTCAAAGATATTTATTAGAGTAGATATATCTGTAATATTGAATTTAATAATTATAAAAAGTTTCTTAATATCTGTGAACATTACAACTTTATATATAATAAAACTCATAATAATTTCTTCTAAGAATAGAAAAATCAGCATCAGAAAGAAAAGATGAAAAAGTAATAGACTTATAATTTTAACACTGTTGAGAGAAAGAATGATTCTCTAATATGAATAAATAATTGTCTCATTACAAATATTTAAAATAAATATAATAATTAGCATCTGTGACTGAGCTTCAGATAGTTGTGTCATATACTGTCTTTGTATAATAAATTATTCTAGAGATTAGTAAGAAGAATGAGAGTGTATATACTGAGAAATGTGATTCACTGAGTCTATACAATATCTTCTTGAAACAGGAAGAGCTAGTAACAAAGGCAGTAGTGAGAGCAGAAGTAGTAGAAGTAGAGGTTATGAAAACAGAGATAGCAGAAGCAGGAGAACCAGATACAGAGACAGATATAAGAGATTGAGAGAAAGTAGCAGAGAAAGAAACAGAGAGAGTAGAGAAGAATGTGAAAAACTCAGTTATACATGACATAGACAATTTCTTCATTATCACATTCTTTAAGTTTTCAATTAATAATTCAACATTGAGATGTTTACTATTATCAGCAGACACAGATCTGTCAATACATGAAGATTCTACATAAATAAAAATAAATATATCAGCATCTGTGTTCATGTAAAATTATGTCAGAGAACACAATTAGAAGCTCACTGAGAAGAAAAATAATTAAGAGTATATAAGAAGATAAAGAAGATGTGTCATTCATAATAATACATTCTGATAATTATTAGAAGAAAACAAGTTCTGATCATGTTTCATAATGTGTTATACTTACTGCTAATGAACTGCCTGATATAAGTACTACAATAGTGCTTATTATAAGAATAAGAAATCATTGTCAGAAATATATACAATGTAATAGATAAACAGACAGAAGGTATTAAACAGAAGAAGAAGCAGAAATCTTAAATAAGATAGTAATATTTAATGATGATAATGATGAAGAAGATGATTGAAGAATGAGAAAAATTAGTAAATAAGTAATGTAATATAGTGAAAGTTTCTTTGTAAGAGTGTACACAGAATGCTAGTCAAATCAGAGATAGATTACATAATTATGAATACTAGTGACACACTAATCCGCATGAAGCTAGAACAGATATCATAGTCATGTGAGTGTGACTGAATCTAGTGAGAGAGAATGTAATTCAGAAGAATGTACAATCATCAGATAATAACACAGCCGCTTCTGAACTTGCTTACAAATGTAAAGAGGTCATAGCGGCCACCAATTAATTTAGTGTACAGTATATAAGAAGCCGGCGTACGCCTGTAATTGTACGCTGGCTCAAGCAACTTTTGAATCACAATATCAAGATATGATATAAGATTTATCTTGAAGATGATGTAACAGTGCTGTACAGACTTCTTTACAACTTGTCTGTAAAGAAATTGAATGTTCTGTGCAAATATCTTGAGAAAGTGCAATTAAAGAACTGAATATACTTATCAAAGAGTTCAGCAGAAGCATCTATACTCTTTATACTTAAGAAGAATGATAGACTACATCTATATATAGACTACAAAGATCTTAATAAGATGACAGTTAAGAATTACTATTCATTATTATTAATTGATGAGATGATTGATTAATTATCTGAAGTAAGAGTGTTCTCAAAGATTGATATATAGAATATCTATCATAGAATTAGAGATAATGAAGATAATATTTGAAAAATAACTTTTCATATCAAGTACAGCAATTTTAAATATCTTGTTTTATCTTTTGATCTCTGTAACACTTCAGCCATCTTTTAGATCTATATAAATAAGACACTGTAAGACCTTGTCAACATCTTCTATATAGTATACTTGAACAACATTCTAATCTTCTTAAAAATAGAGAAAGAACATGATACTCATGTTCAAGAAGTGTTAAGTCACTTGAGATAGTATCAACTCTATACAAATACTGAAAAATGCTCATTCTATATATAGAAGATTGATTTCTTAGATTATATTATTAAGATAAATGACATTTCAATAAATAGAAGCTGAGTCTCTGTTATTGAGAACTGACTGATGCTGTAAATGTATCATAAGATGCAGATATTTCTAGAGTTTATAAATTTCTACAGATAATTTATCTATACATATTCACAGATTACTGTCCCTCTTACAGATCTGTTAAAGAGAAGTGTGAAAGATAGAAAAATAAGATTATTTATTCTTATCTAAGACACTGTACAGGCATTTGCAGAATTGAAACAAGCTTTTACAGATGCTATAATACTGAATCACTTTAATTCTGACTTACTCAGTCAGTGTGAGACTGATATATCTGAGAATGAAGTCTATGAAATCTTTTCACAGTTAACACTGAAGATCTTTTAACATTGAAAGAATTAGAGAATAATAATCTCTGAAAATACAGATAATGAAATGCCTGTGAGAGAAGACTTTTTTACAGAGTTTATAAGACACTGTGAATGAAGATCAGTGATCTTCTTCTTCAAGAAGTTATCACTCATACAGAGAAGATATGATACACATAATCAAGAGATGTTAGCAATTATTGAATTCTTTAAGATCTGATAACATTATCTTCAGAGTAGTAAGTACTTAGTACAAGTTCTCACTGATTATATAAATCTGTATTACTTCTTGACAATAAAGAGCTTGATAGAATATTAAGTCAGATAAATAAAGCTGCTTTCAGAGTATGATTTCTATATCTGTGTAATATGGCGGAACTGAAGCAGTGACTAGTCAGTGATGTCATGTAGAGATAGTTATTTAAAAAGCTGTATAAGTGAGCTTGACTATCTTGCTTAAATAGTGAGCTTATAGACTACAGAATTATTGCAAGAATATCACAGATATAATACTTAGTATACTAAGAAGATTGTATGAGACACACAGTAACTCTTATATATATTTCAGTCAGAGAAAAATGAATCACTGACTTCTTTAATGAGAAGTCAGCATCTAGCTATTCTATATAGATAATGAGTGAATACTCTTCTCTCATTTCATAAGTGAGAATAGTCAGAGTGATATCTCAGCAGTGTCTTATTATTAAGAAAGAGTAATCTACTGATCTTGTATAGAAGTAAGGTTCTTATATTTATCAATCAGATCTTTCTATGATATATCTGAATAATATTATAGAGTGATTGAAAACTGGTTCAGATGAGATGAAATTATTCACATAAAAGTAATGAGTTATATGAAACTGTAACAGAGTCTTAACATGACTGAGAATGTGATAATATTCTTCTCTTTAAGAGCATAGTCTCTATACTCTCAAGATTATCAGATTAGAAATTATCTTTATTATATAATAACAGTTGTCAATCAATTGACAGTGCATGTGCTGCATGTGATACAAAGAAATAGATAAGTTTTTCTGCTAACTATATAAATCTTTCTTTGCTCATCTTCATTCAAATCAAACACATGATAAGTGAGTTTCTTATATATCAATTTAGAATGAGAAAAACATAGTTAACAAGTGACTTACAGATCTCTCATCATATTTCATTCTATATATAAAATTCTCTGCAAAAGTGATGTATTTTAGAGACAAAGCTAACAGTAGTGACAGGATTTTTTAAAAAGATCTCTCTTCTCTATGAAACATTTTTCTTTCTTTCTCTCTCAATTGTAACAGTGAGTGCATGAGAGTATTATTCTTGAAGAATAATAAAGAACTTATTCTGATGTTTTCTAGTGAATAAATGTCTTCATGGTGCGGACTGCGGCTCTGTGACTGTTAAGAAAGCCTGGTTGAAGGTGGAGATGATAGTGTTAACAGACTGCAGAAGCATTACTCTCATTGTCACATCTTCTTCTTCTTCTCCTTCTACTTCTCTTACAGCTGTGGTGATAGTCACTGTGCCTTGCAGTGAAGTGTCATTCCCTCTGTCAGTTAATTTATTCATGTTCAGTTCTTCCCCTGCTCTTCTCACTGCTGTTGCAATGCTGTCCTCTCTCTCAATCAACATGATAATGTATGACCCTGTGTGATCATTTAAAGAGAACTCTGAAAAGAGCTTGATTCTGGGAACAGTGGCTCTGAGAAGCTCAGTCTGTAGTTCCTCTTCTGTGACATGCCTGAGCTCTGCTCAGAATGCTACTAGGTTGAGTCTGCAGAGTTCTGCAGTTTCTTTGTCTTCTCTCTGTAAAGAGGCTTCAGTGCAGCTTCTGATCAGCATTACTACTTGTCTGTACTGTGCTAAGCAGCTGAAGAAGAGAGAGATCTTGTATATCTACTTCTTCTCTTACTTCTATTGTTTCTGTTGTATCTGTAACAACAACTTCTATCTCTCTGTAAGTATTATCTACTCTACAAGAAGACATTGTGTCAGCTCTGATAAGAAGCCCAGGTACTCAAGCAGTACAGAGTGAGAATCTCAGAGCTTCAAGTGTTGATGAATTCTATCAAGACTGAGAAGGTCTTTCTTACTCATCTGCAAAAGAAGATGAAAGTGTGAATCTCTGAGATAAAAAAATACCTCAGAATGACTGATCTCAAGAAGAGATTAGTCAGCATCACTGTTGAAAGCATCACAGAGATTAATTACTAATTAAAGAGAATCTCACTTCAATTGAAGTAGATAACTGAGATGCTTTATAAATTAATAAGTTAATACTTTAAGTATCTCTTATACTCTTCTACAGCATGCTTCTCTACAGTGCTGCAGTACTAACTTCTTAACAGATAAAGATGTTAATGTCAGAGACTTTAACAGTGAAGAATGAGTTTGATAAGAATGTAATTATTAATAAGTAGACTCTGAGATTCTCTCTTTTTACTTTTTTAGTGAGCTGTGACCTCATTAAAATAGCAGCAGCTCACAGATCAATAATATCAATCTTTTTTATTAATTTCAAATATCTCTTTCTTTTCTTATTAATCACTTCAGGAATTTTACACTTGTATAGTCTCATTAAACTTCTAAAAAACTTCTTTGAGAGAAAATAGAAGAAGAGTACTACAGAGTCTACAAGACACTGACTTATTACTATGAGATTATCTCTAAAAAACTCTTTAAAAAAAATAAGAAGTCTTAAGTAGTATTTCTTGTTCAACATCTCTGATGTGTAATGAGATAGTCTCTACTAGCTGTCTTATAGCTTGCAATCTCTTTCTCAGCATTTTTCAAATACTTAAGTGATTCTCATGAATTCTCTGATAATAAATAATCTTCTCATTTAATGAGATATTAAAGCTTACTGTAATATGTTCACTTATTCAATATTTTCTTCATAAGATATTTGATATCACTCTCAATCTCAATATTATTCAGCTGAGGCAGCTCTACTCTGAAGTATTGTTTATAGAGCTTTAAATAGAAAATGTGAAAAACAGAATAAATTAATTTCAATTCTGTGAGTAATTTCAACTTATATATCTGTTTATTCACTACTCTTGTTACTGGGAAAGATTCTAGTCACTACTCACTGAGCTTCTTACACAGTCTCATTGTCTTGATATTCTTTGTTGAAAGTAGAACTTGATTCTCTATCAAGAACTTCATTGAAAGATGTTTTCAATTATAGTATTTTATCTATTACTTCTGAACATGATGAATGCTTTTCACTGTCTTCTTATGAATTTTGTTTAAAAGTT